ATCCGCCAACATTTTTAGTAATGTCATAATGATATAAGATTCAACGCAAATATTGGCATAATGACGAGTAATAATTAAGATTCAATAATAATAATAATCACAGCACCACCTCCGGTCGGTGAAAATTCTGCCCCTTTTGTAAAAAATGTCATGTTTCTAAAAAATGTCTAGGAAATGACATTATTACTCTTCATTATGCCAACATTCTCATTGAATCTTATATATCATTATGGCATTACTAAAAATGTTGGCGGATTTTTCCGGTGATGGGAGCTAGTTATGGTGGGGGTGGCAGAGGCGGCGGTTTTTTTTACGTTTTTTATTTTTATTTTTTAATTTTTCTTTTGAAAAAAATAAAATTTTTATTTTATAAATATTTTATTATTTTTTACGATTTGTATTATTTTTTGTGATTTTATTATTTTTATGATTTTATTACTAATTAAAATATTTCAAAAGCTACAAGGGTATATTTTTCCAAACACACATAAATAGTCCTATTGGGGGAGTTTAAAAAATGTAATCCTATTTGTTCAAATTTGTCACTTTTTAGTCTTATATTTAGCTAATTGACCCTAGTTTTTTTTGCCAAAGGGGAATTATTTAGTTAAGGATGGGTCTGATAACAATTTATAAGTATTATATGTTTGACCATCGTTAATGTAAACGGTCAAATGGAATGAAAGGACTAAATTAAAATGCATCAAATAGAATAAGGATTAAAATGATAGATTTATTAGTTGAAGGATAGCAATGATAATCTATGTAGCACCGATACGGGTACGCGGAAACGCGGAAACGGGTACGGAGATACGACAAAACAAAAAAAAATAGGATACGGATACAGGGCCATATTTATAAATATTAAAAGTTATAGGGGTGTATTTATAAATATTAAAAGTTACATGAGTGTATTTATAAATATTAAAAATACATTTTTTTTGAAAAAAATAGACATATATTATCCTCTGACGTCTACTCATTCATGGCATTGAAGCATTTTACATTTTCAAGATACTTAGAAATAAATTCATATTTTATCTCATATACATTTGAAATATAAATATAGTCAATAAGTCATTAATCTAAAATTAGAAATAAGTCAAACAACCATAATTTTGAAATTAAAAGTACGTGCAAGTACTCAAAGTTCTAGAATAATGACGATAGAAAACAATATTTTAAAAGTTCTAATACATATTTTCGTTGGAGCTATTAATTTCCAGGGACATTTAGAATTGGAGATAGGAGGATGAGTGAATTAGGAATAAGCCATTAGTTGTGTACTACGTAGAACATAAAAGCAAGGTAAACATTATTTTTAGCTTTTCATTTTTTAAGAATTTTATTATGTAAATTTTGAGTGTTTTTTAAAAAAGTTTTGTTTTGGAAGTTTTTTTTATAAAAAAGTTGAAACGGGTATCCGTTAGGATATGAGTATCCAAAATTTTGAAATAATTACAAAAAACAATGGAAACTTTTAAAAATTGTAGATACGGCCCGGGAATATACGTACGACCACCGGGTAAGGATGGCAATGGGGGTGGGGGCCCGTGGGGAACCGCCCCGTGGGGGGGAGTTGGGGCGGGTGGTGGGGTGGGGGATATTTTTTCTCCCCGCTTAAATATGGGGCGGGTGATGGGTTTGCACCCCTCGCCCCGTCCCCGCCCCGTCCCTGCCTCGTCCCCTGTAATAATTAATAATAATAATAATAGTAATAGTAATACCATGGATCTAAAAATCGAGCTAGGCGCCCGCCTAGGCGCCACCTAGTCGCTAGGCGGTGGACGGGCGCCCCGATTTTGGTGTAATCGGTCGAAAAAATCGGTCGGGCGGCTAGGCGGCTAGGCGGGCTCCTGGGCGGGCTAGGCGGGCTAGGCGGTGGCTAGGCGGTCCGGATTAATTTTATCCCCGATTCAACTTTTTTTTTTCCGTTTTGACTTAAAACCGCGTTTGATCAATAAGTATTCTATTTCTTTATAGTTTAGCTTCATATTACTACGACAAATAATTATTTTGACATATTTATAACTTGTTAGAGTGTATATATACATTTTTAGAGACTAAAAATATATAAATCTCTACATTTATCTATTAATTATTTCATTATTTATAATTTTTATACATAAACCATAATATGTAATGATTATATGAGCTATTTCTATTTTCAAAATAATATATAAAATTATTGGTAATATATTTAAATTTCAATGAAAAAAAAAAAAGAAATAAAGGAAAATACCTAGGCGCCCTAGTCGGCGCCTAGGCGCCCGCCTAGGCGGGCTAGGCGCTAGGCGGCCAGTTACCGCCCGACTAACGCCTAGCGCCTTTTAGAACACTGAATAATACTAATAAGAAGTAATTAAAATAGCATGGTGGCCTGGTGAGTTTAGTAGTTTAATTTCCTATTTAATGGATTGTGCCTAATGGGTCTATCTAATTCTTATTTAATAACTAAGCTATCTTGTAAAATTGCTTATCAAAATCATAAAGTAAAATGATTTTTTTAGGGATATAGTAAAATGAATCTGGGAAAGTTGTAAAATGATATTAGCTTAAACGCCTTAGGCACGGTGTGAATGTTTTCTTCCTTTACTATTAGAGAGCATTAATTCTTTTCTTATGAATGTCATCTTTATGATTGTAGTTAGGGCTCTTAAAATCTGGTTATCATAGGTCGTCCTAGATGCCGTCAAATAACCATGATTGATTGAATGCAGGATTTAAGAAAATATTATAGAGCTAATCAATGCTAATAAAGAGTTTGATTCATTTCATTTTTGTTTATCCCAGTGCCGCAAAGGCTCCCACCTACGGTGGGGTAAGGGGGGGGGGGTCAGATGTACGCAGTCTTACCCCTGTACTAAAGCATAGAGACACTGTTTCCGGATGATCCATAGTGAAAATCGCGTCCAAAATTGCATGGAATGATTGCTGTTTCATAATAAAGAAGTGCAGACAGTTTAGTGAGTCATTTTGATTTATTCCATCATATTAAAACACGTATAGAGTTTGATAAAATGACTAAATTAAAACAAGTATAATGTGTTCTAGATTTGAAATGGGATATAAGATTACATTGACACTTAAAAGTAAAAGGTGTTTTGGCTTCCAGAAGTGTTGTTTAATTTTTGAATAATTGTCAAAGTCTAAAATGATGTTAATTTTGACAAGTACTTCCCTCGTTGGGTACCCGTGGGTCTAGTGGGGCGGAGCGGGGGATGGGGCGGGGGTGGGAGCAATTTTTTAGACACGGGGCGGGGATGAGGGAGTGAACCCCCACCCCAAGCCCACACCACTACCATCCCTACGTACGGTCATCTAGGACATGTTTACTTCACCGGTTATTAAACGGTGCTTATTAAGACCCGTGTTAATAAGCGGCGCATAAAATAAACAATGTTGTAAGACCGTGTTTACTTCAAACGGTTTAAAAGACCGCTTAACATTAAAATTTCCAAAATAACCCTATACATATATATACACACAAACATTCATGAACACAAGTATATAATATAATATGTGTACCCATACCCCTAACCCCTTACCCACCCTACCTTACCCCGACCCCACCCACCACCTACCCCTACCCCCTACCCTACCTACCTGACCCCACCCTGCCTACCCCTACCCGACCCCACCCTAACCTGTCCCCACCCTACCGCAACCCTACCCCCGACCCCATAGGCCCCTACCCCCATAGGCCCTTACCACATCGACCCCACCTTACCCTACCTTACCCCACGCCCCTACCCCTACCCTACCCACCCCTACCCGTACCCCACCACACCTACCCTGCCCCTAGCGCCTCTATCACATCGGCCCCACCCTGACCCCACCACCCTAGGTATAGTGGGGTAAGGGGTGGGGTAAGGGGTATAGGGTGGGGTGATTGAGGTCAGGTAGTGGTAGGGTGGGTCGGGTAGGTAGGGTAGGGGTGGGTTGGGTAGGTAGGGTAGTGGTAGGGCGGTAGGGTGGGGGTTGAGGCGGGGTAGGGGGTAGGGTAGGGGTAGGGTCGGATAGGGTAGGGTGGGGTCGGGTATGTGGGTAAGGGGTGGGGTAGGTAGGGTAAGGGTAGGTGTGTGGTCGGGTAAGTAGGGTAGGGGTGGGATTGGGTAGGTAGGGTAGTGGTAGGGTGGGGTCGGGTAGGGGTAGGAGGGGTAGGATGGGGAGGGTTGGGTTGGGTTAGGGTAGGGGTAGGGGTAAGGTGGGGTAGGGTAGGTGGGGTAAGGGTAGGGGTGGGGTCGGGGTAAGGGTAGTGTAGGTGGGGTAAGGGTAGGGTGGGGGTCGGTTAGGTAGGGTAGGGGTGGGGTAGGTAGGGTGGGGTCGGGGTGGGGTAGGTGGGGTAAGGTCGGGGGTAGGGTGGGGTAAGGGTAGGGTGGGGTCGGGGTAGGTGGGGTAAGGGTCGGGGTGGGGTCGGGGTAAGGGTAGGGTGGGGGTCGGTTAGGTAGGGTAGGGGGTGGGGTAGGTAGGGTGGGGTGGGGTCAGGGGTAGGGTGGGGTCAGGGTAGGTGGGGTAAGGGTAGGGTGGGGTTGGGGTCGAGGTGGGGCAGGGATAGCAGTAGGTTAAGGGCAAGGGGTAAATTCGGAAACTGAAAAAGCTTAAAGTGCCGCTTAATTAATACATGGGGGGTGGTATGCTTAATAAGCGGCACTTTAAGCACCTCTTTCGGTTAGTAAGCAGCTTTTTAAGCATTGTGCGTGTTTACTTCACCTGTCTTACTAACCTAACTGTGACTTTAGCAGTGAAGTAAACACCTCCTAGAGTATCAGATACGTTTCCGATACGTCGACACGACACTCAAGACAAGTATTTGTGCTTTACTGCTTCATAAATAATAATGATAGCGAGCCGGATGGAAAGGACGGGCGGTAATGCGAGATTGGCAGTCGTGAAATTAGGATGAGAAAAGAAGGGTAAATGCGGGAGAGGAATGATGAGCAGTCACTATCAGAGGCCGCTATGTCTCCTGCGAAGTGGGTTTTCGCACGTTATGAATGTTACACCACTGTGTTTGTCATTCCGCGCTGCTCAATTTCAGAGCACCACCGTCACCTCCTCCGCTCTCAGATCCTCCTCCATTTCCGCCGCCTCCTCTCCACTTCTCGCTCCCAGCTCACCTCTCTCCGCTCCTCAAACGACGTAGTTTCAGCTTCTCCCGCCCACGCGCTTTTCCTCGAACATATAACTGCTAAGAACTACTCCGTATATATGCGGAGGAATCAATTTTGTTAGCCTGGAATCAGCCGGTGGATTTCTCCGGATAAAACCGCCCTTTTTTGTTTCCTTTCTAAAAGCTATGCATAACATAAACCTCTTTAATGTGCGGATTCGAATAGGAAATTCGGAAGTGTAATGTAGCTACACTGTTGAAAGTTTGAAATAGTGAAGCCGCCAACAGTTACTGGATATAGAAGAACTTGCAAGCTCCTTTTTGCATTTGATTGGCTCATAGGATTTTGTTTTTGTTTTTGTTTTTTGGAAAATTTGATGCTCCCTATACGATGAAGAATTGTAACTGGTTTAAGCGAATTGTGGAGAGTAATGGGAAGCTGGAGAGGCGGCTGTCGCTGGGAGAGTACAGGCGAGCAGCGTCCTGGTCCAAGTACCTCGTCTCCTCCGGCGCGGCCATAAAGGAGGAAGGCCGTCAGCAGTGGAGCGCCGACATGTCAGAGCTCTATATTGGGAATAAGTTTGCCTCTGGGCGCCATAGTAGGATTTACAGAGGGGTTTATAAGCAGAGAGATGTTGCTATTAAGCTCATAAGCCAGCCCGAGGAGGACGAAGACTTGGCATCTTATCTGGAAACACAGTTCTCCTCCGAGGTCGCTTTGTTGCTTCGTCTCAAGCATCCGAATATCATCACTGTAAGGATCTAGTTGCTAATTTGTTTTTTGTATGATCTGAGTCTTTCAAGAGTTGTGGATTTATGATGTTTCAGAATCACCGGTACTTTTTTGTGGTTTACATCAATTTATAATTCATCCCTATCAGCGTCCTAAGAGTGCACTCCTGTAGCCTTTTAGTTTATTCATTGCTGCTACAATTCGGAAAACGGGAAAGAAAGAGTTTTGTGTTAATTGAAGACCAAATGGAAATTGATGTTCCGTTAAACAGAAAAGTTAGTGCAAATCTTTCTCGTTCTCATTTAGATCTGAGTTATTTGGTCTATTCCTCAGGCAGGTAGATTTTTTAATGATGAAAGCCGAAGCCTAGTGGTTGCAAAATAATACTCTAAAATAAATTATGAAAGAAATACGGAGTAATAATTACCAAAGTAATACTATGGAAAAAGCCATCATTTTAGAAACTATGTTCTGACGGCTGAATGAGCTGCTAAACTAATTACAAATGTGAATTTGTTGGGTTTCGTATCAAGGATTAAACTTGAGGTGTAAAATGCTTTAGTTTAATGATAGGTGACTGTGGTACAAAGATTTTGACACTTGTTAGTTTTTCACCACAATTAAACACAGATGGAGCAACACATGGTTTTAGCTTGTGATTTGTTGCTTGAATTAATTAGATAATAATTTCCTTTCAACACACATAAAATTATAATGAATTGTAGATATTGCTATCTGGACAGACTGCTCATCACTAGGAACCACAAATGAATGTCAACAGGGAGAGCGTTAGCACCCCACATGATTCTCGCAAGAAAAAACACTCGCTTCAGAGTTTGTGTGAACACATTGTTAGTCACAAGTCATCGTCTTTGCCAGCTGGTTTTAGTTTCGATCTACATTTTGTTTATCTTATTGTCTGCAGTTTGTTGCGGCATGTAAGAAACCCCCTGTGTTTTGCATAATCACTGAATATGTTCCTGGAGGCTCCCTGAGGAAGTACCTACACCAGCAGGAACCATACTCAGTCCCTCCCAAACTGGTGCTGAAACTGGCTCTTGACATTGCACGTGGGATGCAGTATCTTCATGCTCTGGGGATACTTCACAGAGATCTCAAATCAGAGAATCTGTTGCTTGATGAAAATATGTGCGTAAAAGTGGCTGATTTTGGGATATCATGCTTAGAGTCCCAATGTGGTAGTGCAAAGGGCTTCACTGGCACTTACCGTTGGATGGCACCAGAAATGATCAAGGAAAAACATCACACTAGAAAAGTAGATGTTTACAGTTTTGGCATCGTTCTCTGGGAACTCTTGACGGCATTAACACCATTTGACAATATGACACCAGAACAGGCAGCTTTTGCTGTCTGCCAAAAGGTATTTTGAGATTTGCTCTGTTTTAACTAGGGATGGGTTTGGTTCCAGAACCAGATAAGACTTGGACTGGCCATTTGCCCCTTCAAACCAGACCAGGACTGGACCATGGAAACCGGTCCAAACCGGCTCCTCCAAAATAGGACCAGATACGTTCAAGTTCCGGTTCCTGTTATTTTTTAATACGGTTAAAAACTGGACTAAACGAGCAGAGAACTGGACCGGTATACCCGGTTAAGGTTCTTATTCTCCCCTTCACTGGAAGTGGACCTCATGCACTCCTAGTCTTAATTAATTTGTCACTTGCATATTATTATTACATTGTTGCATTGACAAATTTACCCTTTTCACCTATATGTGCATTATGCTGAAGCTTTTGTTTCATTCGTATCCAGTGATCTTGTTCCTTTATTTATTAGTTCATTTATTTATTTATTTATTTATTTATTTATTTAGTTGATTGTTTATTTATTTATATGTGGGTTTTTTATTCTTTTGACAGAATGCAAGACCACCATTGCCGTCTGACTGCCCAAAGGCATTCCAGAATCTTGTTAATCGTTGTTGGGCAAGTGATCCTCATAAACGGCCACACTTCCAGGAGATCGTAACAATTCTGGAAAGCTATGTTGAAGCATTCGGGTGTGATCCAAACTTCTTTTCAACGTATGAGCCCTCCAGGGATGCAGTAATTTTGAGATGCTTTACAGAATGTATGTGTACTGATTGATACATTTCAGGCGCATGAATCTGCCTGAAATCGTTTCAAGTTTTTCAATTTTCCCCAACACTTTCTGGTTAGGCAACCAAAAATATGGTCTGCAATGCAAGTGTCATTTTTTCCCCATTTCTTGTTTCAATTGTTTCATTGCTGTCAAAGTGTCAATGGGTGCGCATCCCGTTGAATGTTTGGAAATGAAAGCATTTCCTATTCTGTACTCTTGGCGTTTGTTTTACTCTATCGGACGAATGGGACGATACATACCCTCAAGTTGTAACGTATATTCCTAATATTTTATCACCAGCCAATCCACATGTGTAGTGCACGGATAATAGATTAATTAATTTATTTTTGAAAACAATTTATATAATGAGTAATGTGTACATAAATATTTATCTGTATAAAAATTAAAAAGTGATCTCAAATTATATTAGATTCCATGTATGCTGATTGTTAGGAGATATATGGAGTACTAAATAATACGGAGTATTATGTACTCCCTTAGTCCCTCCTTCCCATATTTATCTTCACAAGTACAATTGGCACAATGTTTAAAATAGTGAGTATTGTGTGACGGAGAGTTGTACAAATGAAATAGAAATGTGTAAGAAATGTTCTGAATCATAAATTCTTTGCCAAAAAGGAAAGTATGAAGATAATTTTCGGACAAAGGAAGTAGTATATAATTATGAAAAATACATTTATTCATCCTCAACTTATCTTGTCTAATGTGGATGATAACAATTAATACGAAGTCTCATATTGCAATCTCCTACTTCCCCCGTTCCGAAATAATTGTCTTGTTGGCTTTGACACAAGTTTTAAAAAAGTGATTGAAAAGGTAAAAGTTATAGTTGAGAATTGAGTAGAAAAAAATGTGAATTGATATGAGCCACATATTGTTGCCAAAAGAAGAAATAAGAAAATTATTTCGGACTTCCCAAGAAGAAAAACAAGACAATTATTTCGAGACGGAAAGAGTATCATTTAGTGATAATTATGATGGTTACTCTATCAATACTTTCTAGTATCTACTATCTTTTGAGTACTTGATATATATGATTATTATGATAAACTATTTCACTTTTTATGAAAAATAAAATGCATGTGTTTAAGCTTGAAGTTCATTGTGTTTTAAAGTTGTGAAAATATTTATTCTATAATATCCCTCTTTATCCATCTCATTATATGTGTTATAAGTTATAACAACTAGATATACAAATATAAATATGAGTACAAATCGACAAATTGTGGAGTTCAAACCATGCTATTTATCGAAATGAACCTAGTCATATTATTACTTCAGATGCAAATCTATGTTTTTTCATTTCCATATGCATGCATTTGAGCTAAGTCTAGAGAAGAAGAGTCGCACGAACAATTGGTGGAAGGAAAACCCTACGCGACGGCAGAGCCGCTAGGGAGGAAAAACCCTACGCGGCAGAGCCGCTAGCGAGAAAAAAAACCATACGCGGCAGAGCCGCTAGAGAGAAAAAAACCATACGCGGCAGAGCCGCTAGGGAGATCAGCTCCCAACGACTAGTTTGACTAATTCTTTTCATTTTCCCCTATTAATTGGCAACCCAAAATCTCTTTTGAAACTCTTCACTTTGAAAAATTGATTTAAGAAACGAAAACCAGATCGGGACTTGGACATCTAGGTTGTCCACTGGATCGAACAGGGACCGGAATTGAGATTGAAGCGGGACCGAACTGTAGCAGAAAAGGGTGCAGCTTCGGCAGATTCATTACATCAGCAGCACTGCAGCGTCCACACATTTCCAAATTTGAAAACTAGTAAAACCTACATCTCCCATTCATTTGTTTGGTTTTGAAAAATGACTTGACAAATACATTTTTGTTGTGAAATGAAGAAGATGAAGACTAAATTTAAGAGATAAATATATAGATAAAAATCTCTAAATTACTTCTTCTTAATATCTGAAATTTCTAAGTATCTGAATTGCTTGAATATTTAATTTTACAAATGATTGAATGCCCTATTTATACTAGCCAGACTTGGGATGAATCATCTAGGAATGATTCTACATAATTTGCTGGCAACATTAAGCCTAAACATCTGTCTATTACAAGGACTGGAATTGGATTAGTGTCCTGATGACAAGGATGAAACATTCACACTTGTCATTCTCAGGAATTTACAACACCCCCCCTTGAATGTTCATCCTTGAATATGTATTTGTTATCTTATTGTGAAAATGAGTGTGAAAATTAAGGGGTAAAAATTACGACATATAATGTCGTTGTATTTGGATGTACTGTCTCGTTAAAAACCTTATCAGGAAAAACCCAATGGGATAAAAACCTGATGAAGGGAAAAAGAGTGCAGTGCAATCAAATACTCCCCCTGAAATTAACATAAAATTTGAAGGCGGCGCATGCCGATTTTCTGTACAAGTTCAGCGAACTTCTTCGGGGGTAAAGATTTGGTGAAGAGATCAGCTGGATTTTCACTGGATCTGATTTGCTGAACGTTGATCGTCCCTTCTTTCTCAAGGTCGTGAGTAGAGAAAAATTTTGGAGATATATGTTTCGTTCTATCTCCTTTGATGTAGCCTTCTTTAATTTGAGCTATGCACGCAGTGTTGTCTTCGTAGATCACAGTAGGGTAAACAGTAATAGGTTTCATACCGCATTCATTCTGGATGTGTTGAATCATAGATCGCAACCATACACATTCTCTTCCGGTTTCATATAGTGCAATTAACTCCGAATGATTTGATGATGTAGCTGTCAACGTCTGTTTCATAGATCTCCAAGAGATTGCAGTATTACCATAAGTAAATACGTACCCGGTTTGTGATTTTGCCTTTTGAGGATCTGATAAATATCCAGCGTCTGCATATCCGATTAAAGAAGCTTTGGCATCTTTGTGGTAGAATAGACCGAGATCAACTGTACCACGGAGATAACGGAATATGTGTTTGATCCCGTTCCAATGACGTCTTGTTGGACATGAGCTGTACCTAGCTAATAAATTTACAGAAAATGCAATATTTGGTCTAGTATTATTAGCTAAATACATCAAAGCTCCGATAGCACTCAGATATGGTACTTCGGGACCGAGTATATCTTCATCATCTTCTCGTGGACGGAATGGATCATCGTGTATGTTGAGAGATCGAACGACCATTGGTGAGGTCAACGGATGAGCTTTGTCCATATAGAATCTCTTCAACACTTTCTCGGTGTAATTGGATTGGTGGATGAAAATTCCATTCTTCAAATGCTCAATTTGAAGTCCGAGACAAAATTTGGTTCTCCCGAGATCTTTCATTTCAAATTCTTTCATAAGATATTTTGCAGTATTTTCAATTTCATCGGGAGTTCCAATAATGTTTAAGTCATCAACATATACTGCAATTATGGCGAATCCCGAATTTGATCGCCGAATGAAAACACATGGACTAATTGGATCATTCTTATATCCTTCTTTGAGAAGGTATTCACTGAGACGATTATACCACATTCGTCCAGATTGTTTTAGTCCATACAATGACTTTTGTAATTTAATGGAAAACATGTCTCGAGGTTTTGAGTTATAAGTTTCAGGCATTTTGAATCCACCGGGAACTTTCATATAAATGTCTATATCGAGTGAACCGCATAAATATGCGGTTATTACATCCATTAGGCGCATTTGCAGCCTTTCAAAAACAGACATGCCAATGAGAAACCTTAATGTAGTTGCATCAACTACTGGAGAATAGGTTTCTTCATAATCGATTCCCGGCATTTGAGAAAAGCCTTGGGCAACAAGTCGGGCTTTATATCTAACAATTTCATTTTTCTCATTGCGTTTACGCACAAATACCCATTTAAAACCCACAGGTTTTACGCCTTTTGGCGTAGGGACTATCGGTCCAAAAACATCACGTTTTTCAAGTGATTTTAATTCAGCCTGAATAGCTTCATTCCATTTTGGCCAATCTTGTCGTTTTCGACATTCTTCAATTGATGTTGGCTCATTGTCATTGTTTTCATTCATAACATTTGTGGCAACGGCATAGACAAATATCTCATTAATATCAATATCTTTTCTATTCCATTGCATTCCAGTAGAAACGTAGTTTATTGAAATTTCATAATTATCAACGTTTCTATCAGTATCTGGAATATCTTCCTCATTTAAGGAAGTTGGATCATTATTTGAGATGTTTATTCTGTCAATATCATTTTCTATGCCAGTATTTTCAAATTGTTCATTTTCTTGTTCAGAAGGATGAACATCTTTGGCATCACAGATCAATTCCTGCCTTTTAATTTTTCTTGGTTTTATATCTTTTGATCCAAGTGGCCTGCCACGCTTTTTGCGTATAGAAGAATCAATTGCAAGAGATTTTTCAGAATTCTCTGCTGGAATTTCAATTTTGGCAGGGGCATTCATTGCAGGAATATGTGACTTTGTCACTTTCTTTGTATCTGTGAATGCATCAGGCAACTGATTTTCAACATTTTGTAAATGGATTATATTTTGCACCTCTTGTTCACATGTATTTGATCTAGAATCAAGGTGTGATAATCCTATTGCATTCCATGTTATTTCTTTCGTACTTGGGTCCGATTTATTAGTTTCCCCCCCTAAGATTGGGAATACTGTCTCATTGAAATGAGTAAATGACAGTCAGCGAACCGTGCGGTGAATAAGTCACTAGTCATCGGTTCAAGATATTTGATTATTGAGGGGGATTCAAATCCAACATAAATTCCCAACCTTCTTTGAGGACGCATTTTTGTACGATGAGGTGGAGCAATCGGAACATAAACAGCACAACCAAATATTTTTATGTGTGCTAAGTTTGGCTCTTGTCCAGTAACTAATTGCATTGGGGAATATTCATGATATGCAGTTGGTCTAAGCCGAATTAAATTTGCTGCATGCAAAATAGCATGTCCCCAAGCTGATGAAGATAAATTACACTTCATTAATAATGGTCTAGCGATTAATTGTAATCGTTTAATCAAAGATTCAGCAAGACCATTTTGTGTATGGACATGAGCAACAAGGTGCTCCACATCAATCCCAATTGACATACAATAGTCGTTAAATGATTGGGAAGTAAATTCTCCTGCATTATCAAGTCGGATTCTCTTTATAGAATGATCCGGAAAATGAGCTCTTAATCGTATAATTTGAGCGAGGAGTTTAGCAAATGCTAAATTTCTAGTCGATAAAAGACTAACATGTGACCAACGTGTTGAAGCATCAATCAACACCATAAAATATCGAAAAGGTCCACATGGCGGGGCTATCGGCCCACAAATATCTCCTTGAATCCTTTCTAAAAATGCAGGTGATTCAGTTTCAATTTTGGTCATAGAAGGCCTGATGATCATTTTGCCAAGAGAACAGG